AAAAAAAAGCGGCTCAGAAGGTAAATCGCTTCCTCCAGATTATGGCTCGTGTGAGGATGACTCACGCTTTGCAATTACCTCTTTTAAAACGCGTTTAAAATTGCTTCCATTCCACTCAAGCGCGGGCCTGATAACCGATAACAATTTCATTTCAAAAGGAGTTTTTGGAGGGCGGTACGGGTTGTTTTCTTTTTCTATTAAACCTCAACGTATCAAGGCAGACAAACTCAAACCGTTTGATCGATATGAACTTTTTTTTTCCCCCGGCGTAAAAACTGAACATCAAACAATAAAGTAAATCACGCCTACACTGAGTCTTTCATGATGTTAGTGTCTGAAGGAGACGTTAGATAAAGTGAAATTATTTTCAGCCGTGTTGGAGAGCGAATTAAGACGACTTTCCCGTCAGTACTTTACTCTGCGGTTCGATTGAATTTACAAATAATCAATCCCCACTCCCCCGCGTCTCCAACCCCTATCTAACTCGTCAGACACCGACCTTCTCAAAATGACAAGTCTTGAGTTACGGATTACACTCCGATAACTAATAAGACCCTACGTGGAGCCGGCAAAACTTTCGTGATCTTCCAGACATCTGTCTGCAGTGGACGCGCAAAACTTTTCGCGATAACAGTAGCAATGTGACTTTACTGAGAACAGCGGCATGGATCGATAATCAGTTCTCTAATTCAGCTGTGCATCTATCAAGAGCTGAGGTGGTTATATACAGTACTGTAGGAGCGGGACATAAAATATTATGTGCGTAACAGTCACAGCAATACCAGGTTTTGGTTTGTAATATATAGTATGAACCAAAAGAGCTCCTGTCCGTACAGATACTTAACGTTTTTTTAAAAAATGAGAGCACTTTTAAGCCCTTATTAAAAGGATGCGGACAGCCGAGTCTCAGAGAATTCCACACTGCTCTCGGCAGCTCAGGACGCAAACTGTCGCGCAGTGAATTTCTGCATCTTCAACTCCTACGCAATCTGAAACTGCAGGCTAGGTGAAATGCCGACGCTCTATATTCCTTAAGATTATTCCTTAGCATTTCAACAAGATGATTCCCTGACATCCGTAACACGAATTCTTTAAGGTTAAAAATGCTAATGAAACGCCCGACCTAATTCAAACCGTGTCACCATTACGAGGAACAAAAACACTGTAACCACATGATCACTTCCAAAGTTTCTTAAAAATCCAAAACGTTCATATCTGCATTTGGCACCAGGAAGTGTTAATGTCAATCCATAACACGTTATGAAGTCAGATAATCAGATAATTAACTTGCGCTGAATTGCACCGGTTCTGGGATGTTTCAGAACTTTAATTTTT